TCTTCCCTCTTCTTCTTCTCCAAAACCATTCTAATTAATTAAATCAAAACACACTATAAAATTATATTCTTTTCTTCTTCTACCCCCTCGCACTAATTTATCAAAACCCTAACACAAGATGGTGAAGGTGCGAATGAACACCGCCGATGTAGCCGCCGAGGTTAAATGCCTCCGGCGCTTCATTGGAATGCGGTGCTCCAACGTCTACGATCTTTCTCCGAAGGTAGCTCCTCCCTTTTCATTTTTCGTTCTTTCACTTTCCTCAATTCGATTTGATTCCATTTTCCTTCTCTGCAGACCTACGTGTTTAAGCTGATGAACAGCAGTGGAGTTTTGGAATCTGGGGAGAGCGAGAAGGTTCTACTGCTCATGGAGAGTGGCGTGAGATTGCATTCTACTATCTACATGCGTGACAAGAGCAACACGCCTTCTGGTTTCACTCTCAAATTGAGGAAGCATATTCGTACCCTGGAGAAAAAAGAGAAGAAGAAGAAGAGGAAGTATCAGAAGAAGAGGGGAACACATGGCCAGAGTTTGTGCACACGTGATTACCACTACTGTGACTCATTTGCCACGTTAGTGCCAAATAATCAGCCACTTAACACCGTTAGTGTGTATTTAACGGAGATGACTACATTGACACAAATTTTTTCTATGTTTGGATTCAATTGACACTTTTACACCACGTGAGGACGACAATGAAACTTTTTTAAAAATGAGGATGAATTTGACACAATTCAACCAAACTGGGGACAAAGGAAGCAATTAAACCTTTGTTTTATTAGGAATGACATTTTATAAACTGTGACAATGCCGCGCTATTCGTCCGTGTGTTAATACGCACGTTAAAAAGGGCATAATCGGAATAAAACAAAGACAATTTTTATATACTTAAGGGGCAAAGTTTTTTGCCATATTTCTCTTTCTTTTGCTTAAAAAATGAGAGAAACACTAGAGAGATCAAATCCGAATTCAAAAGAACAAGAAATTCTCAAAAAATGTAAGAGATTCTTCGATTTTTCTAGTATTCATTCGCAACAGTTTATCGGTTAATCTTCTGAGAATGGGTAGGTGTCACTTTCTGCACCAACTACAGTTTCACTCCTTCCGATCTCGTCTCAAGCTGGGAAGTTCATTACCTCAATAGGTTTGCGTCTTCTTCTGCTGTTTTGGTTTATTATCTTCGCTAAGTGTTATTTATTTCTTGGTTTGTTGATTGTTTAGTCTACAAGAAGGTCTGTTATCCGCGTATCGTTTGTTTGATATGAAATAAACTTTAAACAAAAAGTGTATTGCTAGAAACACTTCTTTTCCTCTTATGAAAAATAAAAAAGTACAAATTCAAAATAAAAAACAATAACATCAGAGTTAGTTCATTGCATTTTATGAGAGGAAATGTTGATTTAACGTTTTGGTTCGGAAATAGGTGTTTTGGTTTGTTAGATAATTTCCTAGTTTGAGATAAAGAACCGATCGTCATGTGCTCTAACTCAGATTTTTTTTTTTCTTTTTAATTTGAGTTTCTCAATATTTTAATAATTTTAGGTGTTGATTTAATGATTCGGTCTGGAAGATAAGCGTTATCATTTGGTAGATAGTTTATAGTTTGAATTTAGTTGGTTGTTTTTGTCAGACAGTTGAATGAACCAGTTGTAGAGAGTACCGAAATTGATGGCTTTCTGTTGCAGCTGCAAAATGATAAGAAAGAGGACAGTGTAAAAGAAAGGGAAGAAGGTGACTTGCATATGTACTCTATCGGAGATGTAGAAATGTGAGCATCTTCTACGATTTTGTATTGATGTCCATGGTTCTTTGGTGCTTTGTGCTTGAATTGTTTCTATTAGTCTCTGCCTAATAAATGTCTTAACGAAGGGCAATTTTATTGTCAAACAAGAAATTCCAAGCTCAGTGAAAAGAAAAAGTGCACATAAATAAAAAAGATAAATTAATATGTATTTATGACGACGCTTGCTCACTTGATTTTGAGTGACTTTTGATTTTTTAAAATTTAATTTGATTATTATTGAAGTTCAAGATAAGTGATTTATGTTTGAAACTATTGTCTCAAAAGCAAGTTTAAAATTCAACTAAATTCAAACCACATATAGTTACCTTTTGTCGCACTTACTTTTTAAGGCACTTACTTTTTAAGGCATAATCACGATGTGATTTCTTTTTACAAGTCAAACGTCTATCATTGATTCTCTTTGAACCTTCCCAACCTATTTTCAAGCATAACATAAATGGTGCTTGAATTTGCCTCCCTGTAGATCATATCATTGCAGACGAAAATGATCTTTTGACCTCATATTTTCAAACTTCAATTTGTTGTCAACCAGCTTCCCTTTTTTCCTTGGAATTGTGTTTGATCTTCTCTCTACCTTTATTACTTAATATAAAGGAACATGCATTTTGGGATATAATACCATGTACACTGGTTCAATTGGTGTTTGTTTTTCTCTGTATCTTGTATGGTTATGTAATAGTTGACAAGGTCGGAAGAACTGCTTGATGTTAATTAAGAAATCATTTTATGCAGGCAGGTAAATAATGATGATGATACAAAGGACGATACTCCTGGAACTCCAATCAATCACCATAATGATCTTTTATCTCCTGATCCAACATCATTAACTGATCCAACATCATTAACTGATCCAACATCATTAATGGATGAGAATGTTTTATCTTCTGCGAAAGCATCAAAATCAAAAACTAATAACACCCTTTTCAAAGCAAATAGATAAGTTTTCAGTGAAATTTAACATCAACACTCTCCTAGGAAGAAATTCTAGTTGCAAAGTAGAGATTCTGGAAGTTTTCCAGGAACCATCCGATCAAGATATTATATTATGTCTTGAATAGAGGTAAGAGGAGCTAACCTTTTTAGACTTTTATCTTCACTGTCTAATACTATTGTATGACTATTCATGTATTGAATTATTGTGTATGCCTATGTGTTGATTATATAATTATTTAGACCTTCAATTTCTATGTTAATATTATATGTTGTTATTTTGAATTTGTAAATAAAAATTTTGTTGAGAATAAGTTGAGGAACACTTTGGCTAGGAAAGACCTGGTACTTAAGTTGTCACACGTCCATTGTGACACACCTCTCTTTCTTGGAAGTCTACTTAATGAGTTTTTAACCAAATTCTTATTAGATAGATTATGTAGTGTTAAATTATTTTGTAATATATTCAATTTGTGTGATTTATGTGATGGATGAATTTTATGATGTTTGTAATACAATGGTTCAATTGGTGTTTGTTTTTCTCTGTATCCTGCATAGTTATGTAATAGTTGAGGAGGACAGGAAGAACTGCTTGATGTTAGTTAATAAATCGTTTTATGCAGGCACGTAAATGATGATACGGACGATACTCCTGGAACTCCAATCAATCACCATGATCTTTTATCTCCTTCAACTGATCCAACATCTTTAATGTATGAGAATGTTTTATCTTCTGGGAAAGCATCAAAATCAAAACTAATAACACCCTTTTCAGAGCCAACAGATAGGTTTTCAGTGAAATTTAGCATCAAACACTCTCCCTAGTGTAGAGAATGGGAAACAAGAACCTGATCATGAGTATATTGAGAATGGTGAAGATGATGTTGTCAGAAGAGTTCCACAACGTGAAAGGTGTTCATTGGTATCAGGAGTCAAACCGGCTTGTAAATTCATGTATGATAAAACGGAGGATAGGGTATGTGATGTATAGTATGACTCCTAACTAAATCATTACCCTTTTACACTAATTTTTTTTTGAAGTCTCATTATTTTTATTTAGCTTAATGCAATAGAACGGAGGATAGTTTGATTTTTATGTACAAGCACTCGCCATGTCTTTTCCTCATTGTTTTAGTTATAATTATTTATTAATGATTGACAGTTCATGTATTACCTTCTTTTTGTCTTGTTCATCCTTGAGGCAACTGTTTTTCTTTTGGATGTTCTAAAACCTAATATACGAGAACATAAGTTCCTTCAAACTAAGGTGTTGGTGATAAATCTGGTTATTTTTTTATTCTTATTTGACCTACAAGTCTCCTCTTTTTATTGATTGCATGATTTTTGATGCAGCATTACAAAGAGTTGTCTTATGTAAAATGTGTGATTGTAAATATACACACAATTGAGCCTTAGGTTTGTGTGATTGCAGTCACTTGTTGAATTTTTTGGCAATCTATCACGAGAATGGGCACTAGAGTGCATGAAATACTTATTGCTGGTATATCTCAGAGGCAACCTACATATTATTGTGCCGGTATGAAACTCTAATTTTCTTCTATAACATTAAATTATTAATATTTGAAAGCTTTATTTATATCTGTCTAGGTTGTCAAAGAATGTTGTGAACAGTTGGGCATGGATGCTTGCTTAAGGATTTTTGAGCAATTCAGGTCATATGAAGGGCTATATTTTTTCATGCTATTTTTTTTGAGCTTTTTTTTTTTTGTTCTATTTGTTGTATATTAAAGTTGAAATGGGATTTCATTGTTAATTTTAATCAATATGTTCTAATGTAGATTGTAGATAATGATCTTGTTTTAAAAATATACATCAAAGCCTGAGCTACTCCAAAATTGTTGTTGCTTTTACTGGAGAAGGCAATTTGACAAGATTCTAATATAGTCTAAGTAGGTAGAGGCTTGTTTATTTATCAAATTATACTGATTTTTGTCCATCAGATTATTTGGTGACTCTTTTCTTAATATCTTTGATATTTTCTGGCCTAGACTATTTTAATTTACCACTTTTACTGGAGCTATTTGTGGCTGATGATTCTTATTACTTTTGGGCAACAGCTTGGTTGGACACCTGACTATCTCTTTTATAAAAAGTTTTTCGGACAAATCCTCAGGTACGAGAGTGCCCCATGTAGTTCATTTTTACTATTTTTGTTGAGTTATATCTTTGTATTTCTTGCATTGTCTGCCACTGTTTTATATAATTGATTATCAAATTATATGATTTCTGAATAGAGTTTGTAGAACTTTATTTTATTTCTTCCATCTCAATTTACTGAAATTGGCAGTTGTACTAACTAACTCAACAACTCCTTTTTTTATTTATTTTGGTTTGTAGGGTGCTGTTAATTTTGCATTAATGATGTTGCAAATGGAGGGAGGTTGCCCAGTTGATTACAACACCATAACTGATTTATTTCTTCAGGTGTTTATCTACTATTATTAAGTCCTTATTGTGGTGATTAGTATCATAATATTCGTGCTTCATTATGTTGATTAAGTGTTTCTTTATGTGTGGCATTATGCTGATTTCTATGTTTGAATATAGAATAGATTTTGGGTATTCTTTTTGGATAAGTGAATGGGGTTTTATTTTGTTTTTGGTTGGTATTGTTAGATATATTATATCTTTTATCTTTATCTTTTAGTTAGTTTGTTATTATTTCTCATTTGTATTTTGGGCTTAGCCCATATTTCTTCTATTATAAATAGAGAACCCTATGTGTATTTAACACAAGAGAGATTAATACCATATATAGTTTTTCACTATATTTAACATGGAATCAGAGCAGGTTTTCTGATCTCTTCCGGTGGTCTTTGCTGTCTGCCGGCGGCCGTGACGGCCGGCCGCCGGCCGCCCCTAAAAATTTCATAATATTCATCGTCTACCGCTGTCACTATCGGAGTTCCTTTTTAAAGTTATGGATTTGCTTCCTTCATCGGAGTTCTTTTTAAAGTTATGGATTTGCTCCCTTCATCGGAGTTCCTTTTTAAAGTTATGGATTTGCTCCCTTCATCGGAGTTCTTTTTAAAGTTATGGATTTGCTCCCTTCATTGGAGTTCCTTTTAAAGTTATGGATTTGCTCCCTTCATCGGAGTTCCTTTTAAACAAAAGTAATAAGAATCATCAGCCACAAATAGCTCCAGTAAAAGTGGTAAATTAAAATAGTCTAGGCCAGAAAATATCAAAGATATTAAGAAAAGAGTCACCAAATAATCTGATGGACAAAAATCAGTATAATTTGATAAATAAACAAGCCTCTACCTACTTAGACTATATTAGAATCTTGTCAAATTGCCTTCTCCAGTAAAAGCAACAACAATTTTGGAGTAGCTCAGGCTTTGATGTATATTTTTAAAACAAGATCATTATCTACAATCTACATTAGAACATATTGATTAAAATTAACAATGAAATCCCATTTCAACTTTAATATACAACAAATAGAACGAAACAAAAATAAAAAATTAAAAAAAAGCAATCAATTCAAAGTATTTCAAAATTTCAAATGAAAGTTACCTTTACAAGATCAACTAGTTCCTCACTGCATTCAAGCTTGTCCCTTTTACAGAAGGCATCCATTTTCTACATTAGAACATATTAATCAAAATTAACAATGAAATCCCATTTCAACTTTAATATACAACAGATAGAACTTATTAACTGGAGCTCAAATATGATCGCATGAAAAAATATAGCCCTTCATATGACCTGAATTGCTCAAAAATCCTTAAGCAAGCATCCATGCCCAACTGTTCACAACATTCTTTGACAACCTAGACAGATATAAATAAAGCTTTCAAATATTAATAATTTAATGTTATAGAAGAAAATTAGAGTTTCATACCGGCACAATAATATGTAGGTTGCCTCTGAGATATACCAGCAATAAGTATTTCATGCACTCTAGTGCCCATTCTCGTGATAGATTGCCAAAAAATTCAACAAGTGACTGCAATCACACAAACCTAAGGCTCAATTGTGTGTATATTTACAATCACACATTTTACATAAGACAACTCTTTGTAATGCTGCATCAAAAATCATGCAATCAATAAAAAGAGGAGACTTGTAGGTCAAATAAGAATAAAAAAATAACCAGATTTATCACCAACACCTTAGTTTGAAGGAACTTATGTTCTCGTATATTAGGTTTTAGAACATCCAAAAGAAAAACAGTTGCCTCAAGGATGAACAAGACAAAAAGAAGGTAATACATGAACTGTCAATCATTAATAAATAATTATAACTAAAACAATGAGGAAAAGACATGGCGAGTGCTTGTACATAAAAATCAAACTATCCTCCGTTCTATTGCATTAAGCTAAATAAAAATAATGAGACTTCAAAAAAAAATTAGTGTAAAAGGGTAATGATTTAGTTAGGAGTCATACTATACATCACATACCCTATCCTCCGTTTTATCATACATGAATTTACAAGCCGGTTTGACTCCTGATACCAATGAACACCTTTCACGTTGTGGAACTCTTCTGACAACATCATCTTCACCATTCTCAATATACTCATGATCAGGTTCTTGTTTCCCATTCTCTACACTAGGGAGAGTGTTTGATGCTAAATTTCACTGAAAACCTATCTGTTGGCTCTGAAAAGGGTGTTATTAGTTTTGATTTTGATGCTTTCCCAGAAGATAAAACATTCTCATACATTAAAGATGTTGGATCAGTTGAAGGAGATAAAAGATCATGGTGATTGATTGGAGTTCCAGGAGTATCGTCCGTATCATCATTTACGTGCCTGCATAAAACGATTTATTAACTAACATCAAGCAGTTCTTCCTGTCCTCCTCAACTATTACATAACTATGCAGGATACAGAGAAAAACAAACACCAATTGAACCATTGTATTACAAACATCATAAAATTCATCCATCACATAAATCACACAAATTGAATATATTACAAAATAATTTAACACTACATAATCTATCTAATAAGAATTTGGTTAAAAACTCATTAAGTAGACTTCCAAGAAAGAGAGGTGTGTCACAATGGACGTGTGACAACTTAAGTACCAGGTCTTTCCTAGCCAAAGTGTTCCTCAACTTATTCTCAACAAAATTTTTATTTACAAATTCAAAATAACAACATATAATATTAACATAGAAATTGAAGGTCTAAATAATTATATAATCAACACATAGGCATACACAATAATTCAATACATGAATAGTCATACAATAGTATTAGACAGTGAAGATAAAAGTCTAAAAAGGTTAGCTCCTCTTACCTCTATTCCAGACATAATATAATATCTTGATCGGATGGTTCCTGGAAAACTTCCAGAATCTCTACTTTGCAACTAGAATTTCTTCCTAGGAGAGTGTTGATGTTAAATTTCACTGAAAACTTATCTATTTGCTTTGAAAAGGGTGTTATTAGTTTTTGATTTTGATGCTTTCGCAGAAGATAAAACATTCTCATCCATTAATGATGTTGGATCNGGCAACAGCTTGGTTGGACACCTGACTATCTCTTTTATAAAAAGTTTTTCGGACAAATCCTCAGGTACGAGAGTGCCCCATGTAGTTCATTTTTACTATTTTTGTTGAGTTATATCTTTGTATTTCTTGCATTGTCTGCCACTGTTTTATATAATTGATTATCAAATTATATGATTTCTGAATAGAGTTTGTAGAACTTTATTTTATTTCTTCCATCTCAATTTACTGAAATTGGCAGTTGTACTAACTAACTCAACAACTCCTTTTTTTATTTATTTTGGTTTGTAGGGTGCTGTTAATTTTGCATTAATGATGTTGCAAATGGAGGGAGGTTGCCCAGTTGATTACAACACCATAACTGATTTATTTCTTCAGGTGTTTATCTACTATTATTAAGTCCTTATTGTGGTGATTAGTATCATAATATTCGTGCTTCATTATGTTGATTAAGTGTTTCTTTATGTGTGGCATTATGCTGATTTCTATGTTTGAATATAGAATAGATTTTGGGTATTCTTTTTGGATAAGTGAATGGGGTTTTATTTTGTTTTTGGTTGGTATTGTTAGATATATTATATCTTTTATCTTTATCTTTTAGTTAGTTTGTTATTATTTCTCATTTGTATTTTGGGCTTAGCCCATATTTCTTCTATTATAAATAGAGAACCCTATGTGTATTTAACACAAGAGAGATTAATACCATATATAGTTTTTCACTATATTTAACATGGAATCAGAGCAGGTTTTCTGATCTCTTCCGGTGGTCTTTGCTGTCTGCCGGCGGCCGTGACGGCCGGCCGCCGGCCGCCCCTAAAAATTTCATAATATTCATCGTCTACCGCTGTCACTATCGGAGTTCCTTTTTAAAGTTATGGATTTGCTTCCTTCATCGGAGTTCTTTTTAAAGTTATGGATTTGCTCCCTTCATCGGAGTTCCTTTTTAAAGTTATGGATTTGCTCCCTTCATCGGAGTTCTTTTTAAAGTTATGGATTTGCTCCCTTCATTGGAGTTCCTTTTAAAGTTATGGATTTGCTCCCTTCATCGGAGTTCCTTTTAAAGTTATGGATTTGCTCCCTTCATCCGGAGTTCCTTTTAAAGTTATGGATTTGTTCCCTTTTAGAGCATCGATGTTGCTCTTTTTCTTTTTGGATTATATTAGTAACAAGCTTGGTACGATTTGTATGCACCAGCTTGAGGGGGAGTGTTAGATATATTATATCTTTTATCTTTATCTTTTAGTTAGTTTGTTATTATTTCTCATTTGTATTTTGGGCTTAGTCCATATTTCTTCTATTATAAATAGAGAACCCTATGAGTATTTAACACAAGAGAGATTAATCCCATATATAGTTTTTCATGTTAAATATAGTGAAAAACTATATTTGGGATTAATCTCCCTTGTGTTAAATACACACATAGGATTCTCTATTTATAATAGAAGAAATATGGGCTAAGTCCAAAAATACAAATGAGAAATAATAACAAACTAACCAAAAGATAAAGATAAAAGATATAATATATCTAACAGGTATATATTAGTACAGGGGTTTATGATGTTTGGACTGCGTTAGCATGAGTTTATATGTTTCCAAGATAAAGTAAAGGTGTGAAATTTTTAAGGGATTGAGTATTATATTTTACATTGTTTTCAGAGTGTGGAATAATTTTGATGTGAAGTTGAGTCTGGAGATTTCATGACGTGAATTACAAGGGAATTAGTATCTAGGTTTTTAACCAGTAGGAAATTGTAAATGTTTGTAGTTGTTAATAATTGTAGTCAACAAATAAAACTGTCTAAAAGCTGTAAGTTGATCTATATTCTCTAGGTTCAATAATCGATTGAACTTTTACCTAGCACATGTCCTATGTAATTCACACAGCCAAGAAAAAAACAGTCCTCTATTGATTAGGTTAACAACAAGAAATATTATTTGCACGGGTTATTATGTTCCCTGATCACTTGTTTACGAAGATTTTTATGCCTGTAATATTTCACAGAAAGTCTAAAAACATTATGTTGTTGAAACTGTAATTTTTTGCCAGAAATTTTGCTTCATACTGCATTATTGTTTTGAGGAGCTGACATTTCAGCACTAAAATGTTTGCAATTTTCTCTTACATGTTCTTTTACAGGTTTTATTTGATGATAAGCAATGGGATTTTCTAGTGGACCAATTCAAACAGGCGTTCTGCAAGTTATATTCAGGCATATCGTGATCGGATTTATGTTGGTGATGTTCAAGAGGTACGTTCTATGTTATATCCATATGTAGCTTAGGTTCGTACTGGTTTCTCATGTGGAACCATAGAAGGATTTTTATCACTGCTAATTGGTATCTTAGTTTATGCATTAATTACGGTGGATGCATTCACCACAGTTTTAGAATTGTTGTAAATCCATAGCTGTTGAATATCCACATTTGGTGACTTGAGCTTTCTGGTAGCATTTGATTGATACAATTTGATATAACTGATTTGGTTTTTATACAAAACTTCCGTGGGTATTATACTATTTTGGAAAGACTCGACTAAGGCTTTTCTGTTAATGATGGCAACCCCTTTAGGGACTTCCCATCCAAAGAAGTATCAACTTCACTCTAAGACCAAGAAAGGAAAGTTGAATAAAGGACTTCATCTTTTCTTTCTAAGTCTTAGCATGTTCTCTTTAACTAATTCCATTTACATTGTTTTATAGGACAATAAAGGTTGGAAAGTTTCTAGGAGAGTTGCCAAGCAAAGAGGAAACAAAGGAAGCAAGTAGGAATGTGTGTTGTAGCCAACCATGAAGCATGTTTCCCACATTTTCCATGTGCAACACATCCAGCCAGCCGTGTGTCTTCTTTACTTTGAAGCACATTCAACATAAGTTTCACGTGGGACATAAGCCAATATAAAGCTTCTTCCATTTTGAGCACATTTTCAATGATGAAAACGTGGAACACACGGCCAGTAGCTTTGCACATGTGATTTAGCTTGAGCACATTGTAAATATGTAGCTTTCCTTGCACACTTCCAAGCTCATCTTCTCCTATAAAAGAGAGCTTCATCATTTGTAAACTCAACTTGAATTGTATGAAGAAATGCTGCTGAATTGTCCAGCCAATTCTCACTTTCGAGTTCACTGACTTGTGCCTTCTTAGCACACTTATCCTCTAGCTTCCTTCCCCCTTGGAAGGCCGTCTGGGTTAGAGAACCTGCCTACACACTTCCAAAAACCGCACCAGACAATTCATCAAACACCTTCCGTACACCTCCAACTGCATCTGTGTTTTCCAATTCCGCTGCCACCTCTAGTCTGAGAAGCTGCTCATTCTTGAAGAGTGAAGCTGCTTCTATCATTTGGTATCACAGCCAGCACGTCCACGCTTGTCTTCAAGAGATAAGCTTCTCTACTTAGCAAATTTCCAATTCTGTCATGTGCTGTTCTGCTGTCACGCTATTTTTGATTTTTTTTTTCAATTCTGTTTGTCTTAATTTTGCAAATAGACAGTGTGCTTATTCTTGGATCCAGTGTGCTGCTGCAGTACATGATTCAATTCACTGAATAAAATCTTCAGTTAATTGTGTTATTTTCTTTCTTCTCTCCAGTCTTTCCACTACTGCAAAGTATAGGGGGACGAAAACCAACTTTATATATTTGCCCATGATTGTGTTCCAAGGTGGCTTACTGCATCGTACCACATAGACTTTGACACCATGGCAGGCGCAGACAGGTTTGGAAATATCTATTTTGTGCGGCTGCCACATGATGTTTCAGATGAGATAGAAGAAGATCCTACTGGTGGTAGGATCAAGTGGGAACAAGGAAAGCTGAATGGAGCTCCCAATAAGGTGGAAGAAATTGTACAGTTTCATGTTGGTGATGTGGTCTCATGCTTGCAAAAGGCTTCTCTCATACCAGGTGGTGGAGAGTGCATTGTATTTGGAACAGTTATGGGAAGTGTTGGTGCTCTACATGCCTTTACTTCACGAGATGATGTTGACTTCTTTTCTCATTTGGAGATGCATATGAGACAGGATCACCCACCTTTGTGCGGAAGAGACCACATGTCATATAGATCTTCATATTTTCCCGTTAAGGTATGCCTGATATGCTGTTTATTGCTTCTATGAAATTGTGGAAAAGTGCTATCTGCAATCTGTTGGATAAGAGCATCGCCCCTTTCTATATTTTCATTGCTGTTCCTGCTTGACAAAGAGCCATTCATCCTGTCACTATTAAACATGTGCACACCAAAATGTTCTTTTTGTTTTTTGTGCTTTTTTGGACGTGGCATTAAATATTTTCAAATTTCTGATAGTCCTGCTTTATTGTGTAGGATGTTATTGATGGGGATCTATGCGAACAATTCCCAACATTGCCAATGGATTTGCAGAGAAAAATTGCTGATGAATTGGACAGAACCCCTGGAGAGATACTGAAGAAACTCGAGGAAGTGAGAAATAAGATTATTTAAGAAATGGTTGCATGGAAGGTATGATTCCCTAATTTTATCTATTTTGGTCCTGACTGTTCTACCGTTGTTATAATAGATTTATAGCCAATATATGAGATGTAGTTTTATTTGAGATGGATAATTCCAACATTGTGACCACTATCAACATGAGGATTTGTCCCCCCTTTCTATTCTCATGCATATCTTATACTAAAAGGGTTTAGATATCCTTAATAGAGAATGAGGATTTACTGTTAGACATGTTTACAAGCTAACTTCTGTAATGGGACTACCCTCCAACCCCTCATCTGGATTATCTCCTTTTAAAGGTAGTCTTGGCCGAGGATTGTTTTCTTTATTTTCTGCTGAATAAAAAATTAAAGGAAAATTCTTCGCTTGTCCAGAATTTTTGCAGTTGCTTAGTTACTGAGAGTTTTTGATTTGATGAATGTCTTGTACTGTGTTTTGGTGTTGCAAGCAGGTCATTTGCCCGCCGCAGCTAGGTCAAATACTAACAAAGTGAAGTAAGCTCGTGTATCTCAATAACAGGGGAACGGTGATTTCTTGTCCTATTTAATTAGTCCTAGTTAACTGTTATCACGCTTTGTGGATGTGATAACGTGCCACATCGCTTCCTATCTCTCTTTTACTCAAATGAGATGTTTGATTTAACTGGGTTTGAAATTTAGTGTAGATTATCACTAAATTTGGGGTTTTATTGAATTTCTGGTGGGTGCTTTTTCCACATTCTTATTGGGTGTTGGTTATTGTAAAAAATGAAATACGAAGCAGACCTTCCTCTTCAGATTTTGCCAGCACCGTAACTGAAAGATGCATTTCTCGTAATAGTTTTTGGCTGATTGGGGTTACGAAAGATTTTGCGATCATATATATTCTGATAAATGTGTTTCCCAAATGGAATAAATTAATTTTGTGGAGAAATTAATCGATTCAACCACTGACTTTTTTATTTTAAAGAAAACATCAATTATATTGTAATTCAATTAAATAGTACTTTGTATAGTATTGATTTATTTTCAGTTTTAATCTAATTGTTGTTTACAAAAATATTCAATAAATGGTGATATATATTATAAATATAATAATACGGTTAAACATGTGAAATATTTCGTGTATTAAGTTTTGCAATAATTTTTCAAATTCGTAAGATGAAATATAACAGTGACTTTATAAATTTATGAACAAAAATGCATATGCAAGTGGTGACACTAAGGTCATGAATTTATGTATATAAATGAGTAAAACTTGGTTAAATAAGGACAATAGGTATGTGATAATCTTGAAATAGGAAATTGAGACATTTGTTCCTTTATAAATTGATTTGAAATTGTACACAGGCCCAAACACGACCCTTTGCTCTAACAATTCTCTAGGTTTGATTTGGAAATGAGAGTTGCGAAATTTGCTAGAGATCAGACCTGACCAAATGTTCATGGAGTGCTTCATCCTACACCTCCAACATCTCATCCTGCACCTCCAAAAATTCCATTTTTAACCTTCTGACACCCTGCACCTCCAATTTTTAACTTTCTTCTCTTTCTTATTAAAGATATTTTAATAACTATCTTTTCATTTTCTTCTCTTTTTTTATTAAAGACACTTTGCACCACCTTAAAATTAATTCTAATTTAATTTAAAATTTAAATATTATTTAATATAATTTTATATTTTAATAATTATTAAAATATGATTTATATTATAATAATAGCTATATTAAAAAAATAAAAAATAAAATAATTAAAATAAAAATAAAAATAAAATAATAATAATAATATAAAATTTGACTTAATATATTCAAATATATTAAATTATATTAAAATATTAAAATAAATTAAACAATTATTAAATTGTAAATAAAAACAAAAATTTTTAAAAATTTGTTATCAAAAATCAGTTTTGTTTTTTATTTAAAATTTAATCAATATTTAATTTAATTAAAGTTATAGTATTATTTATTATATTTTTATATTTTAATAATTATTAAAATATGATTTATATTTTTATAATAGTTTTATCAAAAAATAAAAATAATAATAACTAAAATAAGAGTAAAAATAATAAAAATAAAAATTATATTAAAAATCACATTTAATATATTTAAATATATCAAATTATATCAAAATATTAAATAAATTAAATAATTATTAAAATTTAAATAAAAAGTAAAAT